AATGGTTCAAATAAAGGTTGAGTTTGGTTGAAAATGACATGTGTGTAGTTCTGTTTCAACTGTTTAAACAATTCTCTTCCAAAAAAACAAGGAAAACCTGTTTTGAAAAAAACCTGTCCAAAGATAACTAAAACTCCAAGGTGGCAACAGTCTTTTGCAGCCAGTCCTATGCAACCCAAACTGAGCTGCACTTCAGTACGCACTGGAGCTGGACAGAAGGCTCTTGAGAAAACCTTTGGCCAGAAAATGTTATTTAATAAGAATTTTCTAGACCTGCATGCTCTCGGGTACCAGAGCACACTTAAAAACACTTCTTGATTGTCCAAATTTTAATTTTTTTTCTTGTCAGAGTATTTTTAAATTATATATTTCATACCACCCTAATAAATGTTTTGTTTCATACTCTGGGTACCCAATGCGTGTGTTTGACAAAAGCTAGAATGGAGATGTAATGTTCTTTATGGTGCTAGATGCTGCCTAATCCCACAGATATTTCTGCTGACATCAATAAAGTTGCTGACATTCTACAGCTGTGGAATTAATCAGTGCCCCAGGATGTCAGAATTTTAGCCAAACACTGACAGTGGTCACACCATTCCCTCTCTCTTACCTCTGAGTTTCTTTTAATCTGAGCAACTGTAACTGGCATCCTGAAGGGCAAAGAAAGAAACTGGAAAGTACTGGAGACTGAAAGGAGCTGAGTAAGTTCAGAGAACTAAGTTCCCATGTTAATCTCCAGTTTTTCTATCCTTGGCTTATCTTCTTTTTGTAATATACTTTTCTGCTTCACTGTTTATCAAAAATTTATCACTACTCAAACTAATTCCTGATTACTGCTCTCTAAATATGTTCGTAGTGCTTTCAAGGTATTGTGATTCCATTGTATTAATCAACGTAAAAGTTCATCATTTAGTTGAAAGTATTTTCCACCGTTTAGGATGGAGGAATGCTTGGAGGCTCCTGAAGTCTTTTGCCAACTTTTTTTGTGACTCTGTTCTGTCTTTAAACAAGTTGATTTGTGTGTCTTAGTTCTCCCTTAACTGCAAATTATTGCCTCTGAATTGTGGTTGGTTGGTCAGCAGTTTGAGAAACTAAGCTGTCAGCCCCACAGTGGTTTTCTTACCTGTTGAAATGATGGAAGATAAACAGCATGCAAGTGCAAAGTGACTTCCAAAAGTGGAAGTTGTTCTTGAGGACAGCTCTTTAAGAGCCCTTTATAGGGGCTTCTAAGCCCTGTCTATCTCTGCCTCACTTTTCCAATTGTAGAAATTAATTTGTAAATACTTTCAAATAAAAGTGCCCCTATAGGGTGTTCCCTAACTATAAATGAACTATTGTCTTCCCCAAGAGGGCTAGAATGCCACTTTTCAGCAACTGAAGTAAAAGATGGAAAAAGTTTTCACATTTCTCATTTTTTGAAAATCTGTTTTATATAGCCAGGTTCAGCCATCTTATCTGCTAAGTGCCTTCTGGTTTGTGAAGGCAAGGAGCAGCAGTGTGCCCAGGTGGCCCGGAGAGCCAGTGGCATTCTGGCTTGTACCAGAAATAGTGTGGCCAGCAGGACCAGGGCAGTGATTGTCCCCCTGTACTCAGCACTGGTGAGGCCACACCTCGAACCTGATGTCCAGTTCTGGGCCCCTCACTGCAAGACAGACCTTGAGGTGCTGGAGTATGTCCAGAGAAGGACAACAGAGCTGGTGAAGGGTCTGGAGCACAAATCTTATGAGGAGCAGGGGAGGGAGCTGGGGGTGTTTAGCCTGGAGAAAAGGAGGCTCAGGGGGAAACATATCACTGTCTGCAACTACCTGAAAGGAGGTTGTAGCAAGGTAGGGGTTGGTCTCTTTTCCCACGTAACAAGTGACAGGACAAGAGGAAATGGCCTTAAGTTGCACCAGGTGAGGTTTAGATTGGATATTAGGAAAAAATCTTCACAGAGGGTTGTCAGGCACTGGAACAAACTGCTCAGGGAAGTGATGGAGTTAACATCCCTGGAGGTATTAAAAGATGCGTAGATGTAGCCCTTGGGATATGGTTTACTGGTGGACTTGGTAGTGTTAGGTTAATGATTGTGGCTTGGACTAAATGATCTCAAGGTCTTCTCCAAGCTAAATAATTCCATAATTCCCTATTTCATATTCCTGCTCCTCTAGCAGAATGTTTCATTATGTATAAAGTTTGCTCAGGAGTATATTTCAGCTCTCCCATAGCTCCTCCCAAGATAATTAGTGATTTTTGGTTAAGTGTACCAGCTAATCACTTCCAAAGGAGATCTCTAATTAAAAAGTACTGACCCTATGAAAGAGTGAGAGTAACTAAATCCCTGCATGAGTCTTCCAAATAATTTGATGATGCATTAATAATAATTCTATTCTGACCAGACATTTGTTGGTAATCATTACTAGTGACTGTAGCTTTCTTAATTACAGGGTTGTCATTCAATATTATCAACAGAATGAGTAAGTACATTGATTTTTTTTTCCTATTATTTTATAATGGTGCTAAGATTCACCACCACCAATCTGTTGTCACTAAATGCCCGCACACACAGACACCGGGGAGCAGTGAGCTTGTGGTGCTGAGGGGTAGGACAGACATAGCAGGTTTCCTGGTAATGATGCCACAAGTGGCTGTATTGAGGTTAATGGCAATGCTTTCAGGGCTCAGGCTCTCAAGATGCGAACTTAGCTTTGGGGTTAATTTAAATATCAGCAACACATTTAACAACTTTTTTTACCTGAAACTAAAAGATTAGTTTTATTTTTTAGCTTATGCCAGTGAACACATTGCATTTCTTTATTCAGCCTTGCTTAAACACTCTGAATGGGTGACTGCATCATTACACTATTTGTGCTCTCCACACACTCCAGTTTTTCCAGGTACCTACCCAAGAGCAATGGAAATGGTGACCTTTGTTACAAGAAAGTGTTCTTTAGAGTAAGTACCTTAATTAAAACAGGGGAATAAAGGAAGAAAAGGAGCTTAAAACAACAAAAGGTGCCACGCCTTTGATATTTGCCAGCCTCTTCTCATTTTCTTCTTCAGGATTCCAGTCAATATTAACTCGCTCTTGGTCTATTGCTTAAAAAGCCACTTTTTTGAAAGATGATTAAATCACTGCATATCCTTCATAGTGTTTTTGTTTGGTGAAGATCAAATTTGACAAATTAAGGGAACTTGCAACTTTTGATGACCAGTGACAGTAGTAAACTTCATTGTCTTTCAAAACTGTGCCAGATGGTTTTACCTGCATTAATGTGATAACTCCCTCTATGCCCAAGATTAACTATTCCACACTAACAAAATAATATTGAATAATTTTCTTTGGATAATCCTTAGGATAGTGTGATTGTTATTCACATTCCCTTGGGCAATCACATTGACGTCATGGTTGCAAACAGTTAAAGGCTCCTTTTCCCACTGTGCTAATCCAAGCCACTCTAGAACAGCTTTCATGGGTGGAAATTTCAGTGTGGACTGAGGGTGCTCACTCAGTTCTGCTGCCTACGCTGGCTGATTGAGTTCTGTCTTCTTTCTGGATGGCAAAGACTGGCAAAGCAAGGAAGTATAGGTTGGAGGTTTTTTACTCTAATAGGAACTATTAATAATTTTAAAGATATACCAGCACTTTTTATGGAAGCATGTGGTTACCTTTAGCACTTGTCACAGAGTCTGGTTAATTTGACTGGCATCTCGTTTTTCTATTTTTCACTGTTTAGTGTTTTCCAGCATCGCTGCTAATTTTGATTGCCATATGTTAGTCTATACTGAAGACTAATGATGAGGGAATAAAAACTTGCAACCTGATGTACGTATGTATAACAACTAGGGCAAAAATGATGAGGACGCATGAATCCTATTCATCCTTGGCTGTTGGTTTACTGTGCAACATGAGGAAAGGACATGGCTTTTCCCCATCTGTGCCGCCCAAGCAGCTGTTGCCACGCAGCTGGTGATCCTATCCCAAACACTGGCAGAGAACTGCCCACAGTGCACCCCCGGGTCTTAGACCAATACCCAAATATATCTCAGGCTGTGAGACCATCAATGGCTCTTACAACCATTATCTACCATTGTGCGAGATTTCTAATTGCTAAGACCTTCATTGCCATTGCATTTTGACTGCAACATAATTAGAAAATAGAAATAGAAAAGAGGTGAAGGGGAGTAGATGTTACAGTAATAGCTCATTAACCTGATTTTAAAAAAATATATGTAGGTTGTCTTTCACTGGAAAGTGTTTATATACTAATATGTTTAACAGAGCTGAATTCTAGCCTCCAGTTATTTTAAAGTAGAATTCAGCACTGTACTAACTGCCAGATATTGCTGAGTTTAGCTTTTTCTTCTTGTAGTAAGAATATTTCCAGAAGATTTGGATCAAGAGCCCTTTGAACCTGCAAATAACGCCTTTTTAAACCACATTGCAGCTGGAGAGCTGCCTCTGTCTTCCCTTCACGACTTCCCTTTGACTGCCCAGCGCTGGAGGATGAAGACGTAACACCTTGTCGGGAAGGCGATGGATAACCAGATCTGTGGAGAAGGAGGTGCCCTCTTTTGGCAAAGGGCGGTAATTTTTATGGCTTTGATACTAGAGGCATATCACCGACCCAAGGGTTTTACTCCCGATCTCTCTAAGAGGCCCCGTTGCCTGGGGCGCTCCTCGGCCCCACGGCCGGGGCTGAGGACAGGCCGGGAGGGAAGGGGGAGCCCCTTGTCCCTGTGAGAGGTGGAGGCAGTGGGGCGGCCCGCCCTGCCAGCTGCTCTCCTGGAGCTCCGGGGACACCCTCGGGGACGGCGGCCGCGCCTCTGCCGTGGGCAGCGACCCTCGGGGGGGGGGGGGGGGGCGGAGGACACCGGCGGGGGCGCGACCCGGGCGGAGAAGCCCCGCGGCGGGGGAGGGCGGCTGGGCGACCTGGCGCGGATCCCGCCTCGCCCCCGCCACCAGGCAGGAGGCGCCTGGCGATGCCTGTCCCTGCGCCCCGCTCCGACGTGCTCGGGGCGGGGGCAGGAAGGGGATATGAAACTGGCGGGCACGAGAGCCCGGCGCGGCGGGCGGTGGGGCTGAGAGGCTCTGCGGGACGGGACGGGACGGGGACGGGCGGTTCCCTCGCCCGCAGGATGCGCTGCAGCCCGAAGCGCGTCCGCCGCGCCCTGCCCCCGGGGCGAAGGTGCCGGCCGGCTCCCCGGAGCGCTGCTCGCCGCCGCCGGGCTCCGCGGCGCCCGGAGCCCCACAGCCCCGCGCACGGCGGGCGGGCGGTGCCGTGATGCCCGGCGGCGGCAGCGGGGCCCCGACGTAGCGTGGCGGCGGGGAGCCCGGTCCCGCGGGGCGGAGGATGGCGTGTGGCGGCGGCTGCTGCTGCTCCTCCAGCGCGGGTCGCCTGAATGCGGACAACGCGCGGTTCCTCCTGCTGGCGGTGCTGATCCTGCTCTACATGCTGTGCGGCGCCGCCGTCTTCTCGGCCATCGAGCTGCCCACGGAGCGGGAGGCCAAGGAGCGCTGGGAGGAACGGCTGGAGAACTTTACCCGGCGCCACAACCTCAGCCGCGCCGAGCTCCGGCTCTTTCTCCGGGAGTACGAGGAGGCCAACGTGGCCGGCATCCGTGTCGATGACATCCGGCCCCGATGGGATTTCACCGGCGCTTTCTACTTCGTGGGCACCGTCGTTTCCACTATCGGTGAGCGGCGGGACGCGCTGGCGGCAGCGGCGGGACGCGCTGGCGGCAGCGGCGGGACGGGCGGGGACCGGGGCGGCGGTGTCGAGGCCAGGGCGGGGGGGCCGGGGATGCGCAGCCCCTTTCCTCCTCCCCAGCTCCCAGGCTCACAGCAGGCTCCTGCCGGTGCCGGGCATGTTTCTGTCTCCTCGCTGCTCCTTTTTTGCCTTCTCCTGTCAAAGAGGCGCTGCCGCGGTCGCACCACGCTTGCGGGAAGCGCTCGCCTCTGGGAGCGCCCCCGGAGCCCCGGGCAGCACCGGCTGGCGCTGGGGGTCGTGCTCCGGGCGGGCGGGGCAGCGGACACCACACTACTCCCCTCACCCGTCACTTGCCTGCGCGGAACAACTTGTCCGGGATGCGGTGGCAGACTTTGTGAGAGAGATCAGCACATCCAAAGCTGAAAGCTCTAAACGATCGCTGTATGTCTTTAAATTCTGGGAAATCTTATAGCAAATCTTAGATCTGGACGTAGGTTGTTTCATAGGCTGTAAGATCAGAAGGGCCCTTTCTGAGGATTATCTGGTTCTAACAAGAACCATGAAACAGATTTTATGGTGTCCAGCTGCAAAGCGTGCAACTTGGAAAGGCTGGGTTTCAAACCACTTGGTTTTTTGCTCTTCAGGCTCTCTGAGGCAGAACCATCAAGTCAGTGGGCACAGCTTATTTATTTATAATAAATAAATAAACCCAAGTTTATTCTGACTGAAGGAGCCTTCCGAGGAAGGTGATATTGAATAGAAATTCCTAGGGGTCTGACAGGTGTACATTAAGATTAAAAGGGATAGCACCAGGAACTGACATAAGCACCCCAGGGAGCCCATGGGTGTCAACAGAAAGGCTTCATTCAAGCAGCTGCAGACAGCTAAAAGCCTTGTTAAAATGGAGCTCGCTTTAGTTAAAACAGGCAGTCTGTGTGCAGTTACCACTGTGACAAATGGGGTCACTAAATCTTAGTAATGGTATATCCAGTTCACATTAGACTCCCTCCACAAGTGAAACGCACACTGAAGTGTGAATGTTTAATCCCCAACAGCAATTCTTCAGGAAATCTCTATTAACAGTTTTTTCCTGAAGAGCAGTTTAGAGATGCCTTGCTTTTTGTGGTATGTGTGAGAGTTTGTGCTGTCCTGCAGCACACTCCTCCCTAATACTGACTTTTTTAGGTCTGGGGTTATTCTGTTGTTAAAGGTGTCATTGATTTGGTTTAATATTTCCTCAGGGCCTCAAGATTGAGTGTTTTGTGTTTTTAGACCTATAGGACGCAAGAACTATGCTTCGCTGTTCTGCTGAACTGGTGAATTAGAGTAACTTATAACATTGTGAAGCCCGTTTTTGTGAATGTCTGTAATTTGTTTGCCACTGTAACATCTCCCTTAAAGCATGCTTCTTGTATGATCAAAATAAAATGTTTATACTGACCTTTGCTACAGCCATAAAATCATATAAAGAGCCAGGATCAGATCTCAAAAGTCCACCTTGTTTTGCTGTGTTCCTAGAAGAGGTCAGTTATATGTGACTTCTTTTTTTGTGATAGCTGTTGTCCAAGCTGCCATTTCATACCTGCACTGCTGGAAATTCCTCAACTTCCACAAGGAATTCAGCCTTGTCCATTATTACTCTGAGGTTTTCCTGATGTCTACCTTACTGCAGTTCAGTGACTTGCATTATTTTTGTCTTGCCATCCTTCATACCCAGAGAATGACCTCTTAGGTACTCAAAGACCATTGTCAATGTGTCCCTTCAGTCTTCTCTCAATTCAGAAACCACAGTTGTAACCCCCTTTTCCAGTGATGCAGTTGTTTCTCACATGTATTAGCTGATGTTAATAGTTCTACATTAATATATGTCTTCTATAAATGAGATTGGTAAGGAGAGAAGTGTATCTGTGGTGTTACTAACTGTAGTTGCTCACAAACACAAGTATCCATTTATCCACTCACACTTTTTGGTAATTTCTCTGGCTTGCTGATTTCCATTGCCCCCATTTTACAGCTCCATCAGTGTTTCTGCAGAAAAGTCCTCAAGACTCCTTTTTCCTTCAGACTCTGTATGGTCTGTAGCCTTTGGCAATTTACACTCTTTCCCTTCTTTTTACCTGACATTGCTTTTTAAAGTCTTATCAATGGTGGCACTTTCTCAATGTGTTTTATGAATTGCATCATTCTTTCTTAATCCACTCAGTGTCATTGCACACTTTCATCATATCAATGGTGACAGGACCCAAGGAAATGGCCTGAAGTTGTGTCGGGGAAAGTTTGGGTTGGATATTAGAAAAAGGTTCCTTACCCAGAGGGTGGTCAGGCACTGAACAGGCTCCCCAGAGAAGTGGTCACAGCACCAAGCCTGACAGAGTTCAAGAAGCATTGGGACAATACTCTCGGGCACATGGTGCGACTCTTGGGGATGGTCCTGTGCTTGGGAAGGTGCCTCAGGAGAGGTATCTCTAGAGCAAAAGGCTTTTTAGGGAAGTTACAGGTAAACTGAGGCCATTTACTTTCCTTACAGAGACTAACAAGTAGTTGTCAACTCAAATTGTAATTGCCATCAACCTAGGACTGCATCTGTTAATAAACTAGAACATTCCCCACCCTTGAAAGACAAGCTTAATTCAATGGTTCACTCTTAAATTTACTGAAAGCTTTCTGTAATATATGACAGATCTGTATAAAGCGAAGATGTACGGAAAACGTGAAAAAGAGAACGTTGGTTATAATGACAGGGTTGTCACCAGTCTTTGCTATATGCAGAACAGAGTAGAAATCTTAAATAAAGCAAACCATGTAATAAAAAGGAACTATAAAACTAAATCAACCTGGAAATCTTGCTTTTAGAAGCAAGATCTAAAAAAGGTACAGGTGTGATATCCTAGCATGTTCTCTCTCAGACACTGGTTAAAATACAAGTTAAACCACATGGTTGTAACCCACAAGGTTAGGGGAAAGGCCAGGTCAGTTCTCACACAGAAATTTTCTTACTTCTACTTGTGTCAGAGTCTTTAAGTCATCCAGTTTTACAGAAGGTATCTGAAGTAGGGGCACAAATACAGGTGATCACAGAGGATTCTATGAAGCCCTGGAAACAGCATACGAGCCTACATACCAAGTCCAAAACCCTCTACTCAGCGCAGGTGGTCAAACGCTTCTGACAGATAAAACCTCCATTCTGAATCGATGGTCTGAACACTTTCAGACTCTCTTCAGCACTAGCTGTGTAGTCCAAGACTCAACTATTCAGTCCATCACACAACAACTGGTGAAATACAAATTGGATACTGCCCCCACTTTAGGAGAAACCCTCAAGGCCATACAGGAGGTAAAAATTGACAAGGCAGCTGGGATTGATGGAATTCCACCTGAAGTCTGGAAACGTGAGGGCCTTGCACTCCATGCCAAATTTCACAAGTTTGTGGTGCGCTGTTGGGAACTAGGTGAACTACCATCAGACCTTCGAGATGCAGTCATCATCACCTTGTATAAGAAGAAAGGAATTAAATGAGACTATTCAAATTACCATGGTATTACTCTGCTCACCATTGCTGGCAAAATCCTGGCAAGAATACTCTTGAACAGACTAATACCCGCTATAGCAGAAGGAATTCTACCTGAAAGCCAGTGTGGTTTCAGAGCCAACAGGAGCACCACAGACATGATATTTGTTCTCAGACAACTGCAGGAGAAGTGTAGGGAACAGAACAAAGGTCTCTATGTAACCTTTGTTGACCTTACCAAGGCTTTCGATACTGTGAGCAGAAAAGATCTATGGCAGATTTTGGAACATTTAGGTTGCCCCCTCAAGTTCCTTAAAATGATCATCTCACTCCATGAGGATCAGCACGGCTAAGTCAGATATGGCAATGCACTTTCTGAGCCCTTTCTAATAAAGAATGGCGTGAAACAAGGCTGTGTTCTCGCTTCTGCCCTATTCACAGTCTTTTTCAGCATGATGCTCCAAAGGGCCATGGCAGACCTCGATGATCAGGACGGTATCTACATTTGATATCGTACTGATGGAAGCCTTTTCAACCTAAGGCGACTGAAGGCCCACACTAAGACCTTAAACCATCTTGTCCGGGAGCTGCTTTATGTTGATGACGCCGCCCTTGTTGCCCACACAGAAGCAGCCCTGCAGCGTTTAACATCCTGCTTTGCAGACGCTGCTGAACTCTTTGGGCTGGAAGTCAGTTTAAAGAAGACAGAGGTTCTCCATCAACCTGCACCTCAGGAAGTCTTCCATCATCACCATTGGCCAATCAGAGCTCAAATCAGTCCAGCAGTTTAATTACCTCGGTAGCCTCATCTCCTCGGATGGTAAGATTGACGGGGAGATAGACAACAGGTTAGCAAAGGCATATAGTGCTTTTGGAAGGCTTCATGAAAGAGTCTGGCGAAATAAACACTTGAAGAAAAGTACAAAGATCAGTGTTTACAGAGCCATTGTGTTGTCTACTCTCTTATACGGATCTGAATCATGGGTCATCTACTGCCACCGCCTGCGACTCGTAGAACGCTTCCATCAACGCTGTCTCTGCACAATCCTAAACATCCACTGGTCAGATTATGTGACTAATACATCTGTTCTAGAACAAGCAGCAATCACAAGTATTGAGGCCATGTTGCTGAGAACACAGCTGTGCTGGGCAGGACACGTCTCCAGGATGAAGGACCACCACCTCTCTAAGATCTTGCTCTGTGGTGAACTTGCCACCGGCTGCCGCATGAGAGGAGCCCCAAAGAGAAGATACAAGGACTCCCTGAAACAACATCTCAGCCTTGGCCATATTGATCGACATAACTGGTCTACTCTGGCCTCAAATCAGTAGGTCTGGAGACACGCCATCTATAACGCTGCTAATGCTTTTGAGAAAGCACGCAGGATCACTCTCGAGGAGAAAAGACAGTGCAGAAAGATTTGTCTCTTGCAGAATATACCCCCTAAGGAGTCTTTCTACTGTGCCTTTTGCAATC